CCTGCCGAAGCAGGGTCACCTAGAGCAGGCTGCACAGGACCTTGTCCAGGCGGGTCTTGAATATCTCCAGAGAAGGAGACTCCACAGCCCCTCTGGGCAGGCTGTTCCAGGGGTCCGTCACCCTCAGAGGGAAGAAGTTCTTCCTCATGTTCAGACGGAACTTCCTGTGCCTCAGTTTGTGCCCATTGCCCCTTGTCCTGTCACTGGGCACCACTGAAAAGAGCTTGGCCCCATCCTCCTGACATCCACCCTTCAGATATTTGTAGGCATTTATAAGGTCCCCTCGCAGTCTTCTCTTCTTCAGGCTGAACAAGCCCAGTTCCTTCAACCTCTCCTCGTAGGGGAGATGCAGGTGGTAGAAAAATCAGAAATTCGTTTTCTTAGTACTGCAGTGTTTCAACTCACGCACAGTAGGAACGAGAATGCTAAAATACGTGAAGTTAGATATATGGTATTTGATACCTAAAGCAGGCAAGAACAAAAATTAATAGTGGTATTATTTTTTAGGACATTGTCCAAGATGCAGAACTTTATTTTCGCATAGCTCTGTTCTTGTGTCAGGACTCTGTTCTCTGTGATCATTTTATCCTTATGCTGCATTCCTGTCCCGGTGTTGTGTTTGTTCTTGGCTTATCTTTCCTGAATCTCTATTAATGGATGTGCGTTTTGAAGAAAAAAGCCATTTAGACCTGAAAAAGACAGACTTTTTCATTGTGCAGCTACAGAAAGGGGAACCTAAGAGAAGCTCAGATTTGTTCTCTGGTTATTTTTACAGGGAGTTGAATGACCTAGACCCTTTCTTTTGAACAATTCTGTATATACAAAGTACCTTTTCCCATTTTGCTGAAAAAAAATCTCCGCTGTCTTTATTTACTTCTCCTTTCACACGCTGCAGATTGTCTTTTGTGCCTTTAGCGACATCCCACCAGTCACAAATTCCAGTCTCTAATTTCTTAATTGGGAATTTCTGCTAACTGTAGACATGAGACTCTGGTGGCAGGCACCGGGCAAGCAGACCTGGAAAACCGTAGCCCTTAGCTGGAGACTGAGCCAGCTGCAAACAACCTACTACGTCTTCTCAGCTCAGTGTGGAGAGTTCTGACTGTGGCATAGTGGCACGCAGTTTGTACTGGGGCTGGGGTGAATGGCACTTGCCATTCAGCATTTAGAATTAGCTTGACTGGAGATCGCTGGGGAACTCCATTCCATCGCTACGTTGGTCTGTTCCAAGCTACATGGCACTGCTGGTACGGTGAAGCACCATAAGCACCAACCTCACCAGATGTCTACCTAGCTTAGCCGACCCACTGAATGCAACTTTTCTGGAGATAGATTATGTTATGGTCCTTGGCCTCCCTTGCTATTTAAAAAGGCTTCTGGCCTTTTGTGTTCTTTCGGTAAAAAGTGTGGGCAGAGCAATGCTCCGTGATCTTTCTCTCAATGCTTCTTCAGACTTATCTCCTGGTGCCTAAGCAGGATCAATGTACAATCGTTTGGTTTTGCTTCTCAAGTAATACACAGCCAGGCTGCCCAGGGCAGTGGTGGAGTCCCCGTCCCTGGAGGGGTTCAAAAAATGTGTAGATGTGGCACTTCAGGACATGGTTTAGCAGGCATGGGGGTGCTGGATGGATGGTTGCACTTCATGGTCTTAGAGGTCTTTTCCAACCTTAATGATTCCATGATTGGATAATTAAAAAAGAAACTGTGTGATGTGTAGCCAAATGTTATAGTATAATACTTTAAAACTACTGGTTTTAAGCTTTTGTTTCGACCCCCAGCTGTTTACTATAGGAGTGAGAAAATGAGGTGGTAATCCATGTCTTTGTAAAAGGGACAACAGTCTTTATTTTCTGCTGTGGTATTTGTATTTATAAATCTGTTCAGGTTTTGGACCAGGTTGAGTGATCTAATTACCTGACAGCATTTGCAATTAAGGTGAAGAAAAGAGGAATAGTGAAATAATGGAGCAATGAAATTAGCTCCCTCCTGAAAAAAAAAAAAAAGCAATTTATCAATCCTTTTGTGATAAGTTCTTCAGCCATTATGTGTATCTTTGCCAAGTGCTGTGATGAAAAGATAAAATTGTGGGAGGAGTAGCATGACATTATAAGAAATGGAACACATTTTAAGCATTTTGTACAAATTATTTGCAACGCTGAAGTACCTCTTTAGTTACAGAAATGTCCTTTAGTAACTTGTTATTTAGGCCTTTATTTTCATTTTCAAAGGAGATGTCCACATTCTAGCATGAGAAGGCTAGGGCATGATTTAGTTTACTAAAATATGTTCAAATGAGAAAAACTCATACAGGAGAGGTGAAATTAGTATATTTACTGGCAAGTATAAAATGCTTGGTCCCCTTCGGAGAAGGGAAATGTCAGCAGTTGATTTTTTGGATCCATTCTGAAGACAAACTGATGACTGCTCATGGTCTCCTACAAGACGATACCTGTCCACATCCTCCTGACACCATTCGGTGCCACATCTGCTGGGTGCTGGGTGACAGAAGATCGTTCTTGACCTGTATGTAAGCTGCGGTCTTTTTACATCATGGCGCGATATCACCCAGTCTTTACATACCCTCCTAAATTATTTAGGCTCTTCAGAGTAGTATATGATTTAGGGGAGAAGATTGTTTTCCTCTAATATTTGAACTACCTCATCGTAGGGGGACAATCTGCTCACTGTTTTTTATACCAATTTTAGTTCCTTGGTGTTATGAATTAGGTAATGCCATGAGGAATGTTTTCGATCTGGTCGGTGTATGGATTTTGTGGGGTTTAAAGTTAAATCTTTGTGAAATAAATGTGGGTTGTTTTACAGGTTGACCATATTCCTCCACGTTAATAATTTTTCAGGTTTTGCAGTGGCAAGGAGGCAGGTTATTTCCATTCAGTCCTTTTTTTGTAAAGAAGTCTTGATAATACTGGTTTTCCAAAATAACTATAATGTGCAAACTCATCTGTCCTTTGACTGTGGAAGAATAGCAACTATAAAAATACTACAGATTCCTAAACTGACAGGTATCATGGATTAAATCCTCTGCCCATTTTTTTCCCACCCACTTCAGGTTAAATGAATGTGGTGGCTGTAACATCACTGAATTTGCAGAGAGAGAAGGAATAAATAAAAGTGCGTTGGCAAGTGTCTGACAATGTGCTGTTTGGTTAGCATTTGGGTCACAAAGCAGTGTGGCTTGCTGAACTTCGTAGAGAAATTGTCAACTGGTAGCAAGATGCAAGATGTAAATTCAGGATGCTTTAACTGAGACTAGGAAAGGTCAGCAGTTAATCTTAAATTAGATTTTTGAAGAAGCCAATGGGGCTTCCAGAAGATTAGTTTATTCAAAAAGGCAGGGCTTAAAGAGAAGAGTATCTTAGCAACTGTATACATTTACATGTGGATAAGGTCACCTTATCTCTGAGAAACAATCACTTTACTGATACGTCTGTATAATTAAAATGATTTATCTGCAGCTCAGGACCGGTGTTAAAATTTGCATGGGATAATTTTAAATGTAAGATAGGACTGCCTTTTCCCTGAGGTGCTGAAAATAATTAAGCCATATGTTGTGTAAGCCTTAGGAGAGAAGAAGTTCCTTACAAAATATATTTATATTGCCTACACATTGTTGTGCAATGTAGTATGGTAGCTGCTTCCTGTGCTTTGTGTGGATCCCAGCAGAGTCACGACTGATTCCAGACCAAATCCACTTCTTTAATTTACGGAGGCTGAAAAATAGCGATTGGGGAATGGTGTTTGCCAAGGTGGGTGGACGCAGGATGCTCTGTGCCTTGCTTTCCCTGCTGCGCCGGCCTTTGGAAGCGCGTCAAGGGAGAGGAGCGCTGGGGCTGAGTCCACCCATCTTTGCTCCGTCACCCTTTGCGGCATCCTCAGAGATGGAGATGCTTTACAGCATTTTTCTTCCCTCTGAGGGTGACGGAGCACTGGAACAGGCTGCCAGGGAGGTTGTGGAGTCTCCTTCTCTGGAGATATTCAAGACCTGTCTGTACAAGGTCCTCTACAGCCTACTGTAGGTGACCCTGCTTCGGCAGGAGGGTTGAACTAGATGACCCACAGAGGTCCCTTCCAACCCCTACCATTCTGTGACTCTGTGATACAGGAGGACAGAGGATGCAAAGCCTGGAGAGGTCTGAGTAGGTGCAATTGGTGCCTCTCTTCCCTCTCCCCCTGGTTAAAAACCCTTCTCTTGTAGCAGAAGGAACATTGGAGCCAGGTGGATCCCATCGGACCCAGGCGAGGGATGGCTGACGGTGGAGGACCTGGCTTAGGGCGAGTGACTCAGCTTTCCCTCGGGAATCCCCTTACAGCATCCTCATGGCTACGTGGCTGTGGAAGCTGTGATGTGCTGTTATGGATATTTCTGCCCTGGCACCGCCTTTGCCTGTCGTAACGGGGTGCAGGTTTGCCAATCTGCGTGAAGTGAAGGACTCGGGTGGTTTTTCATTCCGGGGCCGTGTCTAACGGCGTGCCGCAGAGGGAAGAGTTCAGTTTGTCGGAGTGGGACTCAGCCGGCAGTGGGAGGACTGAGTTACCTCAGGCTGCGTTTGTGGCTGTGGGTTTCTGCTTGCTCAGACCAACACAGGAAAATGTTCTTCTCTTCCTTTCCTCCCATGTATCTTTTTTCTGATTTTCTGGAGTGTAATTCCTGGTTTCCTACTGCGTCTTGGTTATGTACAAAGCACTGTCAAGTGCTTTTAAGAACTGCCACAATGAAACAACAATCTTCCTGGATCATCAACTCTTGTCTTCTGACAGATAATACAGAGTTACGATAATCTGACTTTTCAAATTAATACGCTGTTCTGGAAAAAAATCCATGCTACCTGAATGAAAACTTGACCTGTTTATGTCTTCAACTGTGTCACTGGATGGTTAGTGAGACAGCCACTGGGGAAAAAAACAAAAAAAAATCATTACTTCTAATAACACAGGTCAGTTTGTGCGGCTCTGGCAGTAAGGTGGGTGCCAGACCTGCGGCTGCTGCCCCGAAGACAGGCCCCAAGCCATTACATGTT